ACACACATAAAAAAAAAAATAAAAAAAAAAAAAATAAAAAATAAATATACCGACGAATTGAATACCTCCTTCTTTTGGGAAGTCGGTCAAAAACTCAATTAATAGTCACATAAATGTGTGCAATGATATATTATGAGCCGATTTCATGGTTCCTTATCGTATCCATTTAGTTATCTTTAGCTATTGGTCGACATTGGTGCATACAATGTGTCCACATGTTGACTAGTAAAATTAAAGTAGGGAAAATGTCTTTAGCCTATAAAAAGTATTATGAGAATTAAAAATAAACTTTCGGCACCCAAAAAAATAATAGATAATATTCATAATAGATATTATTTTTTTGTGTATTCACGAGCTTCCGTCTTGTAAACCTCAGTTTGTTTTTGCTTGCTTTTTTGCATGATTGACAAATAAAACGACTTAATCATATTAACATTTAATATTAATAAAGGATTTTGATCGTTTACGATACTTGGATAATTTATGCATGCAATAGTGACAAGCGGAAACAAACATCACCTGATCGTAACATCAGACATGATGACGAATAAAAATTTACTTTCAGTACAAATGGGTGATAATGCCTAGTAAATACATTAATTATTGTCACAAGTCGACGTTATCCATTAATTTCCTCATGTTAATAAACCTATTACGATAACGTTTAGTAGATGCAAGAAAATATATTCTCCTTTTGGTATAGTTATATTCACTTAGGGCCTGTCCCAACACGGGCTGACAGAGACAGATAGCTTAAAAATGACGTGACTGTCAGATAAGGAAACAAAATCCGATATTACCGTCTCATATTTTACATATCGTTATCAGACAATTTACAATTTGGTGGGACAGGCCCTTATGGTAATCTTGCTAGAAGTAAAAAATTAATTAAACGTAAAGCTCATATCAAGATTACACCCGAAGCCCTAAGGAAATTTTATATTTAAGAAAATTAAAATGATGTAAGATTGGAAAAGAGTCATTTATTTATACTTGGCCTTTGAAGAATGTCGCAAGTTGTAAAACTAAATTATAAAAATTAAATGTTACTCTTTGAACTGTAATTTAATGAAGGTTTTGTCGAGGTCGTCGACAACTCGGAGACGTAGTAAAAACATTGTTTTTAAGATACTTTAAGATTTTTAATAAAGAAATTATTTTCAATGCTCCTGTGTGATGGATTTGTAAAAACTTGTTTTTGCCATATATTCGTAGATCCGGTCCTTCGATAACGAATCTAATGTCGAAATAATTACTATGTCTTATTGTTATCTGCTTGAAACAAATGTCCGCTTTAAATTCATTGATAAAGACTGAGAATTATCATATGTTGTTATTTTTATACTCGTGTTTATTGTGTAACTTCATATAAAATTAGTACATTACCATTCAAACTTTATGGCAGCTCGCAATTTTCGTATGAGGAAATTACGAACTAGTATAAAGTTCGAATCTTATGATATTGCAGATGGCATCGATGGGAAGCAGGCACGCCGCACGGGCACCAGCGGCCCTCTAGGGGAACTATTTGACCACGGCCTAGACTCATACTCCGCCGTACTCATACCAACATGCCTCTACAGTATATTTGGAAGGTAAATAAGATGCTATAAATTACCATTTTTAACGTTTTTCAACCAAAATATTTTAATTAACATTTAATCGTTTTATTGAATAATAACTGTAACTTTGTCTTGCATAAAATAGCTTTAACAGACGATCGAAAATAAAGATTTAAATGTACTAAAATAATGTCACGGTTCAGTTCTGTACGATAACATATATCTTGAATATGTATATCAAGGACTTTTTATATTATCTCTATTTAATTACAGTTATTAATGGTGTTAGATTTTTCTATCTTGTACTTGAATTTAAAATTAAAATGAATCTTTGAAGGGATGAGCTGAGTCCGCTCCGTTTCTTCTTCGTGATCTGGAATATCTTCATCAACTTCTATCTGACGCACTGGGAGAAGTACAACACGGGCGTCATGTTCCTGCCCTGGGGATACGACTTCACAATGCTCGTAAGTGACTAGACTGAAAAACAATAAGTAGTCACAAATTATAAATTTTTAAAGTAATCGATAACGAATAATTAAGAAACTTTTTATGATCGCAATTGTTACATACGATAAATTCAAAATATCTTACTAATCTAACTTCTAACTAATGTTATAAATGCGAAAGTTTAGATGGATGGATGTTTGTTAAAGTTTGTAGCCTAAACGGTTAAACGGATCTCGATCAAATCTGGCATAGACGTAGAGGATAGTCTCAAAGAACACATAGGCTACTTACTTTGTTTTTTATTACTTCCACGCGGGCGGAGTTTCGGGCAATAGCTAGTCGAATAATAAAGCAACTTTTTATCATTCCCTTTGTTACATAAGATAAATTCATAATATCTTATTTACTTATCGAAAATCACATTGGTGTATGGAGGGATTCGAACCCAGGACCTGGGTAAAGGGTGGACTGTATTTCTGGCTGGTTTGAAAATAAAGAATCCTTGTAGTTGAATGATGTATTGTAAAATAGGTACAAGTTCCAAGGTCAATTAAGTATGTGTTGTCGTGGGGCCGCTTGGAGCGCAACTGGCGAGGCGCGGGGGACGCATGACGGCGTAAAGCGCCTCTCCCCGGCTTCCCTGCCGTTGTAGTATGATTTAACAACGCGTAGATTACAAGTGAAGTGCTTGAACCTGAGCCACTTCCAGGGCTCGTGCATCCTGCTGCTGGTGACGTCGGCGGTGGGCGCGCGCGCGTGGCACGTGCCGCTGCCGGGCGGCCTGACGCCGGGCTTCCTCTTCGAGCTGGTGCTCTACTTCTCCGCCATACTCACCAGCCAGACTGTCATACTGTGGAACATATACAAGTAAGCACACACTATACATTTTATGTATTTAACAAGACAGTGTAATATTTCTTTTGTTTCTTTGTGGATTTATACTAGGTTTCTGAAGTTCCCGTTTATTTTATCATTACCTAGGTGATTCATTTGTGTTTTAACCTAAGTTACAATGGATTAAAAATAACGCTCGGAACCACATTTTATGAATCTATCAAACTATAGCACAATCGAATGGTTAAACGTAACTCGGAAACGCCCATTAAATATATATTCTACTAACTGTTGCCCGCGTCTTCGTCGCGTCACCTTTTTGTTGAAAAATTTTTTGAAATCGGCCCAGTAGTTTTTGAGTTATTTCAATACATAGAAAATACAAATCATTCTTCTTTGTAATATATGTATGCATTATGTTTATTCTATTCTATCTGGTCTATATTACGCCAGTAAAGTAGGCCAACGCTACTGGCCTACAACTGGCATAGTGTAAACAATAAGCGCCCGCCAGTAAGAGTACAGTTTATGCCAAGCCTGCGCTACAGTTCAACTGTACTGGCCAGTTGTAAACCAACCTAATTAAGTACAGTGCAAGCCAAACTTTATAGCGGCTCACGATTTCGCACAAGACTTATCTAAAGTTTGAATTTTGTAATAATACTAATTCATATGTACATTGATTGGATGGATGGGTGTCTCTACTTATCTCCAAAACTGCTTAACATTAGTAGCTGAAATTTGTCGCAGAACATAGCTCACCCTCCAATTCGCGATCGAAATCTAGTATATAAATTATTATATGCAATATTTCATATTTAAAATAGTTTTTTTTTTGTGTGTAATATAGGTCATACCGCGACGGCACCGGCAAGATGCGGCCGCTGCTGGAGGCGCTGCGGC